CCTCGGTCACCTCCACCCCTCTGTCACCTCCCCCCTTCCTGCCACCCTCCTGTCCCCTCTGTCACCCCCGTGTCCCCCCATGCCGGGATTGTCACACCTCGTGGGGCTCCATGGCTGTTGGGGACACTGGGGACAATCTGGGGACACTCTGGGGACACCTTGGGGAGTCTCTGAGGACACTCCAAATGACAAACATGCCCAAGTGACAGTTGGGGACACACAGGAATGTGGCACAGCCAGATGGAGGAAGCAGGAAGAGGTGACGTCACTGTCCCCCTTGCCCCCCCACCTGTGGGGCCAGGGCAGGGTCCCCAATGTCCCCTGTGGGACCCCGATGTCCCCTGAGTGACCCCACATGGCCCTGGTGTTGCCCCGATGTCCCCCACAAGGCTCAAGTGTCCCCCTAATGTACAGCTGGGGACACCAGGGACTCACCAGGGTCCTGTTGGGGACCCTGGGGACACCCCCATGTCCTTCTCTTGGGGACACCGGGGCCACCCTGACATCCCCTGTCCCATTTTGGGTCACCACGATGTCCCCGATGTCCACACAGTGTCCCCAATAGGACCCTGGTGTGTCCCCAGTGTCCCCAACAGGACATTGGGGGACACTTGAGCCTTGTTGGGGCCCCTGAGGGGACATTGGGGTCCCATTGGGGACATCGGGGGGAACATTGGGCACCCTCCCCTGCTTCTGCAGTGGGGAGGAGGAGGGGCGGTGACGTCACCTCTTCCTGTTTCCTCCATCTGGATGCGCCCCGTTCCTGCCTGTCCCCAGCTGTCTCATGGGGGTGTTTGTCACCTGGAGTGCCCCCGGAGTGTCCCCAGAGTATCCCCAAGGCATCCTCGGAGTGTCCCCAGAATGTCCTTGGAGTGTCCCCAGCTGCCATGGAGCCACTCGAGGTGCGACAATCCCGGAGTGGTGGTGTGGGGAGGGGACAAAGGGGACACCGTGGTGATAGAGGGGACACGAGGGGGGGTGAAAAAAGGCAGTGGGGGACGGAGGGGACACCGGGTGGGGGCGTGAGGCTCAGGGGGTCAGAAATGGGACAGGAGGACATAGGAGGAATGGGGGGAGGGTGACAGAGAGGTGAAGGGGTGGACAACAGGAAGTGGCAGGGGGGAGCAGAGGGCTCGGGGGGGGTGACAAAGGGACAGAGGGGACAGCAGAGGCCTCCAGGGAGGGAACAAAGGGGACCCCAGGAGGGCACAGGGACCACCGCAGGAGGCCCTAAGTGCCACCAGGTCCTTGACACTTTGTGGTCCCCTCCCCAGCTGTCCCCAGCCGTGCTGCAGCCACAGGCCACCGTGGTGGCCACCCTGGGAGGGCTGCTGGCCACCGTGCCCACATGGGAGGAGGAGATGCTGCTCGAGTCCCCAAAGCGACTGTACAGGGAACTGCAGGAATTCACCAAGGAGCTCTGGGCCACCCTGTATCGCATTGATGACACCTGGAGGCGCCACAAAGTCACCGATGATGATGATGGCAGCCCTGTCACCTCCCTGAGCCAGGCCCTGGCTGCCTACAAGAGCACCACACACACCACCCAGGACAATGTGACAATGGCAGCCAGCAAGTGGCAGGGGTTGGTGGCTGTGCTTATGAACAGCTGGGCCCGGCTGGCCAGGAAGGCCACTGAGCTCCACAACACCTGCAGGGATTTGGCCACCAAGGCAGCCGACAGGGTGGCCACTGCCTGGGCCAGGGAGCTGCAGGATGAGGCTGCCCGTGATGGGACAGCTCAGGAAAACATGGTGGAGCTGGGTCAGGCCCTGGGC